GGGAATGGAATGACTTCGGCATATTTACTAAAACACAAGGTGGGCGGGAATTCAGGACAAGGTGGGTAAGCAGCACAAGCCTAATCGCGGAATTCACTAAATCAGACAGGGTGTGCCAATGCAAAACGGCGCAGTAGCAGCAGCAGCAGAGGTGGTTTACGACGACAAAATTGCACTCTCGTAACACTCACCAGCGTAAACAAAAGTGGAATTCCGGATGTGCCTTAGTCATCCGTGTCGGTTCTTTTCGTGACATAAAAAATATCGGTTCATTGTGAGAAAATCACTGATCCATTTATTTACGACTGTCTGTTCCAAGAGGCCATTTCACCCTCATTTTCGCTGAAGGAAGTTAGACGGTGTGCACATGATAAAAGACAGTAATTAAGAAACATTGGTAGGAGTAAAACTTGAAGAAATGCAGACTGCGAAATAATCCGTGGAGAAACGTCCAAAACATAGTCAATAAAAGCTGTTGCTCACCGAAAGTCATTAGGAACTTCCCCCAAGCAGCATTGCATGGCGACGACTAGATATAACGCTCTTGGAAGCACCCCATAGACAAAGTATTTGGGTAACCTTGAGACCATTGGGGATGCACAAGACTTGTAGGGGAGGCAAGCATTGCTTGCACCTGCGTACTAATAATTGCGACACCATCTCTTCATGCTGCCTATTGGTACTTATTTTGCTGATGTGCACAATCGTCCAATCTCATTTGCATGTTCTGGCTTACCGTGAATGAAAGCAGGAAACTTCATACTGGATGGCTTCAACTGTATTGTGCCAGAACTGCGTTGTCAAACACTTACCCCTGGAGCAATCCTTGCAGCAGTTTTCTCGGAAATCTAACCCGATTGATTTGTGTTCGTGTTTTATTGGCTTAAAACACAAACTGCTCCATTAAATGTAAGAAATGGAATTGAAGGGCTCCTAGTTACTGAATTTAACAAATCAATGGTATTTTTCTAATAATCTGAAGAAAATTACTATTCATGTCTACCATAATTAAGGCCACCAATTTTATCGAACTTTTACGCCGCAGAATTTTCCTCTCCCTTGGGACCAAATTTTCAAAGAACATGAAGGGTTCTGTGTAAACACCAGAAAATACTTTTGATATATACTCTAGGATCTAAATTCTAACGTTTTATTTTTGGTTTTTAAATTAACAACGAAAGTATGTGATGTGAATTATTTTAATGCCCAGTTCGTAGGTTGCTTTATGAAAAACTTTTTTCTTGGATTTAATACTCGAGTTTTTGATTTTTGCATTTGCTATTTATATTATTTCAGTACAAAGTGTGATTTATGTACATTGGCCACAAGACCGTATAAAGTTATGAAAAAAATAACGATCATTCTATGACTTGAATGCAAAGTTTTAATTAAACTGGTTTGCTGCCTGAATCTAAAAATTTCAGCGAAAATTTGATTTCTAGTGTCTCATTCACTTCAAAACATTTCCGAGTTCAAAATAAAAGAAAGATCCGTAAGGAAGTATTCTGGATATTTATGGACGGTTTACGTTTATTAAAATTAAAAAGCGCTTCACTTCTGGGGCATCCTTTTGACGCCTAAAATGTAACATCTATACGAAACGTTATTGGTCCAAAATTATGGGATTTTAAGCAAATTGTAGCATTTAAGCAGAGTTGCATATTTTTGACTTCGATTATTGTCATTTCTACTAAAAGATCGATTTTAAGGTTGTAATTTGCACTACTAGGTATTCGGATAAAAAAGAAGCTTCCTTGTATTAGACCGCGCAGAGAAACCATTTCTTCTGTTGTTGCTGTTATTGTCCATGAAGGCAACAATCTGATATGCCTCCACCACGCGTCTACCTGCCAAAGGCTGTTGACACAAGCGCTGGGGGTTGAAGGCGCAGTGGTTCCTACGGGGCCCGATTGTCATTTCTAGTTCTAAAAAGGCTCAAAATGCTTCGTGGGTTCGCTAACTTGGATTGCAAGATGGTCGGGCGTCGTGTCTTGAAGCAAATACAAGGAGCTAGATGTAGTGGTAACTGCCGTCTGATGAGTTATGGAGAGCAGTTTGTGGACGATTGTTTTGGAAATAGTGTCATTGCTAATATTTCGTAGTCTTTAGTGGAATCGTTGCTTGTTTATTGAGAAGTGGCCTTAGTGATGCTTAAATTTCCAACTTGAATGTGCAATGTTTATGCCTTGCAGCTGCAACAAAGGAGTCAAAACCATACTTTGTACTCCTGCAAAAATCTTTTTAGAGACAAATTGCATTTTTTTGGGAAAATTATTGTGTCGGCCTAAAATTTTAGTTAACCTAATAATTATGTTCACCACAAAAGCCCTGAGAATGTCACAAATTTTGTATTACCACAAATTTATACTGCCACCGGGATCAGAAACCATGTCTGAACTTATATCAGAATTCCGAAACACCACGGTTGAATTTTAAAACAAATTACTTTATAACCTATTCTACCAGTATCCCAATTTCTACAGAGGGTATTTAGGTGGCATAGCAGGATTCTTGGATTTACAAAGGATTTCAGAGCGAATCCATAATATTTGCTGCCTAAAATGTACGACTGGAGTATCATAATGCGGAAATCATAATAAGGCATTCCAGAAAACAAAATCCCCAAAAGTCCAATCGAAGCATAAAATTTTCTTGGTGCGATTTATTGAACTGCATAAATAATACATCAAAGTAACCGTAATTATTTAATTCCCAGAAGGGTATATCCGTTTAATAAAAATCCGTCACCAATTTCGTGCCAGAAAATCACTTAGCACATTTTCTTATAGGTATATTTTTGTAAAGTTGTGCAGGAGCTTACCTGAGCTGAATGATTAGAAGTTCTCATAGTTACCCAATTATAATGAATTTATAATTCGAATCAGTCAATGCTTCATTTGCCTGAAATATTCATTTGGGAAATCAATGCTTGGCTTCAAGCTCAACTGATTGCCATTTTATGCATTCTTTGTTGCAGGCGGTTGGCTAATTGTTAAGTGAAGGGCCTTAACAGGCGAATTGTTTACGTTTGGCTACCGTTATTTAAGTAATGCGTCGTTAAATAAAAAAGTCGGAAGTTATTAAACAGTGAGCAAATAACGGCTGGACCAAATAATTATAAGTAATGTTTCACTGAGAGGTACCTTTTTAATTTCAGTTGACTGAATTCCATTCCATTTGTGAGAAATAACTTACAAGTAGATTTCCTGAATTAATAAGATGATAGTACTCAATTTTTTGCCTTTAGAAATCCAATTTGCGAGCCGGCACAGGAGTATTAAACCGGGAGATTGTCTACAAGCTGTCTATTCAAAAACGTTAAGGATAAAAAATTTCCCCCTGTGCATAGCTTTTTCACTTTCTGTGCTAGTAAACGGCTTTAAGGTTTATTACCTGCCTTAACGGATCAAAGATACTTGTGATAAAATAATAAATGCATACTGCGCAAGGCGCCTTTTGACCATCTTGAAAAACAATGCTAGTCGATGTTCTTGAATCCCAGTGACTGAATGAGCAAAATAAAATTTTAAACTCATGACCAGTTAACCATCGTCAAGGAAAGAATATTGTTTTGACAGTTTAAAGAAACATTGTATATTCAAATTTTGTTTTAAAAAAACCTTTTAGTCATCAGGCTGCGCTGCTTGATCTGATTTGTTTTATTTTAAGGAACTTTTTCGTGAATTATATGCATGTGGCCTTAATTAATAATCTGTAACTTTGAAATGACACTATGTTTAGAAGCCGTTTTACATGACTATCGGTGTCATTCCCGTGGCAAATATTGTATCACTGAAAGTCTTCCACATGACAGGTTTTGTGCTGTGTGCCCATTACTGAATAATTATCACTAAGATACCAAGAGACACGTAAAGGCAGAAGTCGCTTCAGCATACCTTTTCCATGTAATTTATCCCTACATAAGTAAAAAAGTAACCTGTCATGGCAAAATACGGCAGCATGAAGGTTGCATAGATTGCATCTTAGGCAAAGCAAGATTGCGTCGTCTTTTATTTCAGAAACAATCAAAATACTTATAGTTTTAGGTGCGCAGTAGCTGAGATTTTCTTGCACAATTGCCTTTATAAATGAAGAATCGAAAATATATGCTCTACCGCTTTTATTCGAAAGCAATATGTTCTGCTACTTTCCGTTGGAAAACACCACAATTTAAATAGAATCAAATTTCCTGGTAATCAAAAAGGTTGAACACACGAAAACGGCTTTAATTTTGGCAAATATAGTGATGTTGCAGTGAGGAGTATTTGCTTAAACCAAACGTTTTTGTACAAATTGGAAAGCGTCGCAGGTTAAGTGTAGATTCTTCAGTGTACGATAAGTCTATTCATGCTTTCAAAATCATTGATTGCAGCTAGTTTTATTAAATTCCATGGTTCTGAACAAAATTAACAAAAAAATATATTTGGATGTCAAGTCATAACGTCTATTTATGCATCAAAAGCAACATAAGTACAAATTTGTAAGATGAGGGTATTCGACATGAAGTTCACCATAATTAGTGTCCAGCTGCCACTTAGTGGCTTCCAATAAATGATACAATTAAACACAAAGCTAATATTTTACCTCCTTTAAATAGATTGCCTGTTAAAGTAAAAAAATCGACTTCGTGCCTTCACGGTGTCGAACTAATTTGAGATTAATGCAATAATGAGGAAAGAAGTAAGTTGTTGAAACCAAAACAGTTCAAGCTTTGAAGTTGGATGAAATAATTAGACTATACTTGATTTTCTATAGCTTTTTATAGTACATACTTTGAATCGCAGGCCATGTATATTCAAAGCTAAGTTCAAATTATAAGTCACCAAAGAGTTCAGCAAACTCCTTTATTTAAAAGGGTTTTCGAAAAAAGAACCAAAAAAGTGAATGGCAGTCGCATGCAAGCAACGAAGCAAAGATATGAGAATCCGAGCTTCCGCATGCGCACACAAATTCATGAGAGAAGCAGAAGAAAAGAGTCATCTGCCATTTGTACAGTCATGTTAATTTCGTTCTTGCATCTCCTGAAGCGTGTGCCACTGAGCAATCGGCCGACGTGGATTGGCCAGCATGTCAGACCAATGGCGTAGCGCTGCTCCTGTCGCATTGCAACCGAGTATGATTCGCCCGATTGGATCGGAAGAGCCCACTCGATCATAATCGACTACTGTTACGATTAGGCTCACCTTCTACAAGATTAAACAAGTGAACATGCCTTAATTCACTAATGGGCGTAAAAGTGCGTAACTAAATTGTAAGTAAGCTGTTCGGCTAACTTAAAATCTTTCAGTAGCATGCTTTAAGCTGCTTTAATTGCGGTGTGAGTACGAGCTCACAACCTACAGAACTTCCAGCTAGTGTCTGCCATTACCGTTTAGGACCTTGTCAACCGATAGACAATGTACTGCTATGCTATCTCTAATGTCACCCTTAAGAACGCGAACAACTTGCGTTAGTGGGATTTAAACACAACTTCCCTGTTCAAACACAATTAAGCCTTTATTAGGCGATAAACGCTGCATGCAGAGTGCAATGTGTACTTTCCTGGATATTCTCAACATCATCAAATCCATCGTACTCAATAGCTTATTGCTGAGGACACAACATGTTGAGTAACTGCGTTAGGGATTCGATATATTTGCAGATAAAGGGGTCAGCAAACACTGCTCTGGTTCATTAAAACAATCCATGTACATTTTTTACATTGTGCTATTATTTTTACTTTTTAACAATAGCATACAGAGGCAATGGGTACTAAAACACAATGAAATAACTTAGACAAATGCATCTATAAGTTAAAGTTTACTAGTGCTTGAAGCTAAGCAGTTTGACTATTTATGTACTTTTGTGTAAAGTCTTTATTACTTAATATTTTCAGCAGTAATTAACTATTTTTGTATTTTACAGCTACCAACGAGCCTTCTAGAATTCACCCATGTGTGTGTATACTATTTAAAAAGGCTCTTTGATAAACTATTTTCATTACTTCAGAAAAATTTTTCAGTTTTAAGTTTCAATGGTTAAATTAGCTTTGTTAACATTCATAACCAAACTTGTTTGACATATAAAACACGATTTGGGCATGAATCGCCTTGCAATAACGTTTGTAAGCCGGCCTGCCGAAATCTACCAAGTTAAATATTCATTCGTGAGTAAATTGTTGGTTCAGAAAGTCACTTCAATCCAAAATTCAAAAGTGCAAAGTGAATTTACCTGAATGTGATCAAAAGGAACATCAAAAGAGAAGGATTCGTTGTAGTAGGGGTTGAGGGTATTTTTCTTGATGGTTGTCTTTTTCTTTTTTATTCGTCGTCCCTGGAGCATCAGTGAAAGCTTTACATAAGGATCTGCAAGCCAAATGGGTAGAATGATTAGATAAAAGCTTCAAAGGTATAATTTCTGTGTGTTGCGTCATTCGACGAAAGAAACAAATTCAATATATGCATTCACATTCATTCTGGGGACTAAGGCAAGTTTAAATAACATGAGTTCATCCTTAGTGTGGGCATTAGCGCATGTAGTTACCAATTGAAGTTGCGCTTCAGAGTTTTGGTAGGAGCTGGTGCTTTACTAGACTATTTGTTGCAAAAATAAGTAATTGGACGAAAGTTATGTTGGCCTTTATTCAGCCTCAAACTACTGTACGCCATACCACATGTTGCCTGTTTCGTTTCTCTCAAAGTATCATTCGCTTAATGAAGAGCGATCAAAGTTTTCACATGATTTGTAAACTGCGTTTCAGTGGGAAAGTTGTGAAAATGGGTCACAGTAAAGGAAACCCTTTGTATTCGATTCACAGAGTTGATTTAACTAAGAAATCATACCAGATAGGCCGCCCACATCCATCTTCTTGAGATTTTTTGCCTCCAAAATGTTGACTGTCAACTTTCCTGATGTAGGAACGTAGCGAAGAGAAAAGCAAATATCACCCAGTCGGTTCTCCTACATAGTAAGCAAACCAAACGCTGAGAAAAATCATCACTGGCATATTCAATATCATACAAGGGGAAAATTTCATTCATAGGCTGTTTGGCGACAGGAGTCTGCAAGATTAGCAAAGATTCAGCAATAAGCAGGATCACCGCTTAAGGAAGCATATTTGGCTACTATACCATTGTTAGAAGAAGCGAAAAAATTGTACTCTAGATGGTCACCATGTCATCACTTTAATGAAGTTAAAACGCATAATCTAATTCAAAAAATAAACTAATTTTCTCATTTTTTTTAAAAATATACATGTACATGAAACATTTTTTTACATTTTCATTAGATGGCAAAGTGATAGCAAAGCCAGTTATAGCTAGGATTGTGGTAGTTACGTGTTTTTTGGCATGGCAGAAAGAAGCATACGGTATAGTTTGCTGAAAACACGTGACAAGGAGAACCATTTCTGGCGAGGAACAACTCAAGTTGAATTTACACAAAGAGCTGATGAAATTTGTCTTCTTCACTAACATGTAATCCACCTTGATAAACGGATATTGAACAGTGCATTTGCATTATTGCTTCTGAAGGTCCATTATGGATCTATGTTGCATTAACCAAGTTGCACCCATTTCTCTAAGGTCATTAACACACTGTTCGCGGACCACAAAGATATTCTGCCTCCATGTTACCTCCATTTAAAGACTCAAATAGAAGCGCTTCACTATCTCATTTTAAGGCAGGTGTCAATGAGAGAGAAAGAGTGAACCCTATTAGGAGTGCTGGTCAGGGTTATTTAACAGAGGAATGAATTTGCGTGGGTGATTTTCCCGTCACCGAAGTGAGAACAGCAGCTTAAAAGAGTCTTCAAAAGGGAGCCGAAGAGAAAAGCTTGATTCTGAAGTTGTCGAAGCTGCAATCCAAAAAAATCATGCCACTTGCAAATAATTAACGTACATCGTGCAACTTTGCTCGATGACTAAAACTGAACAGAAAGGTTTTGGTAATTAAATTGGTTTTCAAATGAACAGTTTAAAAAGAACCTGTCATTGTTAATCAGTGGTTTTACGAGAGTTTTATAAACCCTCCAGTCTGGCTTTCTACTAGCTAAATAGAGTGGATGGTTTATCATGATGCCAAATTCCAGGGATCTTGGGTCGATCGAAGAGATTGGCTAGAAAACGCTGTCTTATTTCCCATTTTCCATTAATCTTGCTCGTTCTGATTATCTTTTCTTTCAAGGACTACGAAATCCACTGGATGGCCTTTAGCTGACAATAAGGACAGGGATAAAAATCTGGATTCGGGCGACATTTACAAACTTACTGGGTAGTAAAATTAAGGTGTTACGAAACAATGAAGATTATTTTCAGCAATAAGTACTTTCCTAATGGTCGGATTTCTTGTTTTGAAAAAGAATTTAAAAACGGACACTTATTTCCCATTTGGTTGATTTTATTTACCAAGCACATGGGCAAAAGCGGATTCGAGGTAACTTATAGTAACAAAACTAAGTTTAGCTTGAAAGCAACCAAAACTGTTGTGATGCATCTACGTCAAGAAGACGAAATAAGAATCTCAATCAGCCAATTGTGCAGCACTTATAAATAAAACCAAGGGCAAAATTGAATAAACAGAACACTTCTAGTCTTCATGCTGAGTTAAAGCCTTATTCTTTCTCAAACCATCTGCATAATAAATGCAGGACGATAGACTGCGTAAAAAATTTTGTGGCCTAATCGGTTAAATCGAAGCACAAAATTTAAACAACCTTCCGTGGTTTAGATAACGTGGCCAGAAGAACATCTCTGTGCAAGGTCAAGTGAGCACTCCTTAATGTGTAGTTACTTTTAGGCCGGTTTCATTTCAGAAAGACGCTAGCAGTATTTTAAACATTCTGCTAATGAATTTGTTTACATGGTTTTGGTGAATCAAATCGCAAATCGAACAACGAAAACAGAAAAAAACAAGAGACTCATTCACTTAAAAGAGCAAGGCAGAAATGCACACCTCTATTATGCATTTGTCTGTGACTTGAAACAAAACCTTTGCAGTTTGTGGTGGAAGACAAACTGATGCACGTAAGGTGATAATCGTATAATTTCGCTTACAGTTATGGGATTTAGGCTGTAAATTTCAATGAGACAAAGAATGAGGAAATATGGACAGTCTACCGGATAGAATAGACGTGGGCATGAATATCAGAGATGATGAATGATTTATATTTAGAATACAATATAAAAGGGATCCTCTAACTGTTATAGTGAAATGCTCAATTGACTCATCAAAGACCACGCCGTCCTCAGTAGCTTGAAAGGCGTGTTTGACGGGCCAAAGGACCAGGCAGCCGCCCTAAAATGAGTCACTAGTCTGTTGCCATTTAGGTGGCTCACTTACAGGCAAGTGCGGCGTTGGCGCTCACTCGACAAGAGTTACATTCACGAGTTAAGTCAATTAGAGCTTACTATGAACATGAAGCTTAGGTAGCAGAGGTGCCAACGCAATAACATGCGAATTGACAATATTTTAACACTGTGTGCCCCTTGCTGAATGACTAAATTATCAATATTTTTACCAGGATCTCCCAAAAAAACTACTTAGCAAAAAGAAGAATTTTTTTACTATTTTTGAGTAAATGTAAAGCATGAGAAGCCTTAGGATTTTAGCAATAACCAATTTCAGACTTCCTAAGCACGTTTGGTGTTGACTACCTTTAATACAGGGATTTGCACGGCGTTTCTACTGTGGTCATTGTTCTTTATATCAAAGAAGTTAAATTATAAAAAAAATGATATAAGTAAGGGTCACAAAAAGTTGACTTGCTAAGGGAATGAAAGTACCTTGTCGTTTTCTGAATCCGTCGGTTCGATGGGACGCCATTCTTCCAGTGTCTGACAGAGGTCAATTGAACCTAGGGGAATTTTTAGCTGCCCAATTTGATCGTGTTTCGAGAATCGATCAAAATCGTAGATGTACAGCACCAACGTAGTTCCAGATATCTCTGCGTAAGTTAACTAGGTACAAAAAAGCAGACTGATCATGTGCCCTGGCGCACAATCTAGAAGTGTACCACTATACGGCATGTTATTTAAAATTACACAAAATGAATGAGTAGGTACAGATTAAGGCTGTCCAAAAGTATTAGCACATTCCATATTGTAGAGCAAAATATAACAGGCGTTTCATATCAATGCTTTTGTTTGCTTTCATAAAACAGTTGGATAAAGGAGCAGAGCGTTAAAGTCTTTGCTGTTATATCCGAAAATCCCCACTTTAGTGGTAGATTTTTTACAATTCTGAGTTTTAATGAGCATGTGAAATATGCTTTTTATGGCATTTACGTGAAAAGCCAAATTCAATGCTAATGTACCGAATTTACGACTGTGAGGTAATAGCCGTAATTGCTGCATTTACGTGTAGACATAACGGTGAACTGACGCCAGCATTGAAGGTACCTGATGGGAAGTTAGGCATTTTGAAAATGGCCGGCAGAAAAGGGATATTGCCATATCTTAAAAATACAAGTTTTACTTTGATTAAATTGATTACATGCCTGACTTTCCTACTATATTTAAAGGATATTCAGTTTGCCTTCAAGCAAAATTTCAATTATGCAATTGGTGTGATGAGACTATGAAAAGCAAAATCTAACTTTGTGGTAGTCTTCAAGAAACGTTTATTTGATCCATTGTAAAAACATTTATGACGCTGAACTCCTGTACTTTGCATAGAGGATGCATATGTTGTGCCGCAAGGTTTTTAAGCTGAAATCAGAACTATGTGGGAATTTAATGATAACCCATAGATCAGGAATTCGAAGTCAGTGGTGGTGAGCCGATGTAAAGCACTTTCCAAAAACGCTTTTTGATGAAATTGTTGTTAAATTTGTTGTTAACCTGGTAAAGGTACTGCGCTTTGATGTCTAGTTACGATGCTATCAGAAGCCTTGTGTCACCTTGAGCAAAATTACTGCAATTAGATTGCATCACAAAAATCAAAATTTTGAAATATTATTAAGAACTACTTAAAGGAGAGGCTTTTAAATTTCCACCTATAGATACAGTGCTCGTTTTAAAGATGCTTCACTTAAATTGTAAAACCTTATTACACGTGAATCCTTATTACATGGCGGACACTGTTCTGTTCGTAACTAACTGGAAGTACCACTGAAGTAAACGCAAATTTTCTAACTGATTGGAATGAATGTACTACTGAGATGGAATAAAGGACGTCACTCGTCTGTTATTATTTTTATTATTCTGGTCTCACTTCCTTCGATCAGTTTACTGTCCTTGCAAACCGTCGATTTCTACTCTATTGAGTAAGTTTTGTATATGCAATTTTTGGAATTGTTCATCTGATGAGTGCTGTAGTTTGGAAAATCCAGCCATCTTGGTAATTTGTCCTGATTTTAAGCCGGCACCTGAAGAATGACTTTATGTGAAATGAAACCTAAGCTCGGTTTGATAAGGCAACCGAAACCTCATTTAGGAGCTTCGGTCGTTTCTACTCGGCTTGGTAAGTTTTTTTGTTTTGGTATACTTCAGAAACTTGAAGTGTACACATGACAAAGAACCCATTTTTGAATCACCGCCAAGAAGAAAGCCCATTGGATTATATTAAAAAGGGTTTAAGTCTGGTGCCTTGTAAAATGTGTGTAATCTGCAACAGCGAAGTAAACTGTGTCTTTGAGACAACACGGTGAGCTAAGGCACTTAAACAATGTCATGTGCTGCAATGCAGAGAGGTGTGTTTGTCTTGGAACTGCAATCACTTTTTACAAACTTTGGGTCTTGCCATCCATCGTTGTTATTTTCGGGCTTTTTCCAGCCTACTATGACAATTAAACTCAGTTAGTGTTTCAAAATGATGCTCATTCTAACGTGTAAGATTACCTTTTAGTGTTACAAGCAAACGCGCCTCAGTAGCGCGAAAATAGACAAGCTGAAAAGCATGTTAGAACCTACGATATATTTTTAGCTCTGTAAGTAACTAAAAAGCGTGGTTTGATCTTTAAGGGAAAAAGAGCTAAGATCTTCCTCTCGGAGGTAAATTAACTTAGGTAAGTCGACGAAAGAAACCCACGCCCGAATATGGAGTTGAAGTGGAAATAGGACGAAGTCTAACACAGGTGAACTTCAGTTTTTGTGACAGGGCAAGAAACGGCAATGTTAATCCAAAGTAAAATGGCCTTAAGATAATGCTGGTCGCTCCCCAAATTCAACTTACTTCGATTTAGATGAAATTAAAACAAAAAAAAACTGCTAAAAATAACTGCCACCGACCATGTTGTTACTTAAGAAACAAAAATCTTGTCATAATAGTTGACTATGAAGCCTAGCGGAATCATAATGCCATTTTTCGGACGATTTAACATCAAGCCTTCTTGCACCTGTTTCCAACGATTTTTCATGATTTTGTACATCATCAGCAGATAAAATTACTCAAAATTTTAAGCAACCCAAAGTAACTTTAGAATAACACGCTCAATCCTGAAAGCCAATGTACAAGTCCACATTAAATGTTATGAGTGCCAAGCCTTAGTGGTTTATTATTATAACAAACCAGATAAATTCTGCCAAGTCTTTCTGTTAGCCGGCACAAGGTAATCAGCAGTTACTTCGCGGAAATGACAAGCCATAAGTCGTTGTACTCGGTAGACTACAAACTGTGTATGCTTCTAATAACACATGCAGCAGTGTACTGAAAAGTTAATTTTGTCTACTCTATTATACTTCGAGCCAATAAATTTTGAACTGAGTTTATAACAAAGACCAGGCAAAAATATAATGTTTACAAAATACAGGGTTAAAATTACGACATAAAGTTTCCAAAACCCATGTATAAGATATTGTGACGTAACAAACACAAGTAATTTTCGGCAGCCCAGTTTTAGCCAAAAATGACGACAAAATTTTTGCACTTTTGAATGTCTCTAACCTTGGGTACAAGGATTACCTACAGGTATGCAGCAGTCAGGCGCTTCCTAATTTCGCTTAACATCAAATATTGCTTCCAGCTTTAAATTTTACGTGCAAAAAAGTATTTTTGTAGGAATTCACGCAAGCTCAAAGCATAGTGAGTCTGTTTGGCAAAACTAATCATTTGCTTTAGGGCTCCAAAAGTGGAAGAATTTGCTCATCAAAGCTGGCACTTTTGCAAGACGTTGACAAGAGTTACGTTTGCAGTAATCGCCCTCTTCCTTGTTTTCTTTTAAGTTAATACTGAGCTCCTCAAGCCAACGCACTCCAAATGTGAACTGCTATCTACTGAAGGCAAATACGCAGAAATGCATGTTTTTTTCAAATTTTCAAGCATGATATCCCATCATGCAAATTCTGTAATTTACCATATTCATGTAAAATCCTCACTGGTTACTTTGAATGTGTCCATCGTAAAAATGATTCGGTTCCTTATGCATGCCAATCAAATTATCAAAGGAAAAGGTGAAATGCATCAAAATTATTCGTTTTAACCTCCAATTTTATTTGCCAAAAGAGGTCAAAGACGTCTTAACTCGTCTTCGTAAAGTGATATCTGGATTACCCTGTTAATTTTTTTGTATAGTATGAACTGATATTAGTATTAACTTCATTTAAACAAAATGGCCTCATTTTACTTAATGCTCGTATCTACACATATTACTGGTCGACCTTTTTGGCTTACCTTAGTTTGCACAAACCCCAAAAAAAACAGTCGAGCGTATGATCACACCATTAGAGTGAGTCCCACAGCTAACTGAAGTTTGCAAATTGCCTCCTGCTAAAATGATTAGATGCCACCACACAACGAAACCAGTTTACCTCAGGCCATACTTAGCTAACGAATGTCGGAATGGATTTGATCTTGGGAACCCTAAACAACCACTTTGTATGCTCATTTGGAAGGATGCGTGCAGCTTTGAAAACCACATCCGCATCTTCATTTAGAAATGTGTACTATTTAGTCTAGTCATTTCAACAAATTAAGTAGTTAGAAAGGTTCTAATGCCGTAGAAAGGAGGGCAAATCTGTCAAAACTCCTGGAACAGTCTTTCACTTATTAGGAAACTGCAATTTAAGAGGATTTTGGTCTGCGCCCAAGAGCACAGTAACACTTTGTATTGGACATTCATTCAGCTCAAAAGCGTTTCTGTATTTAATAATTCTACATTGACAGTACGAATATTAGCAACAAGGTTGGTGTTGGACTATGTATATTCAAAAATCGATTTTACATACTAAAATAGTTATCCAAAACATCAAAGCGAGTTAGTATTGGTTCGATATGGCAGTCTACTGAAAAAATCGTCTACATAAGTTCGAATTCATCAGATTTGTGTGGTTCAAAGGCAGTTAGAGAGCATTTTACTGCCTAAGAAGTTGGAAGGAATCATAAACATTCACACCAAATCACCTTTTTACACGCATGACCTAGTTCAATGTTGAATATCCACCCCCTAACCACTCTACCCAATGACCTCAATGTTTATGAGAATGCAAATTTGCCGATTTTCCCAGACGCAGCCCGGCCTGACTGGCAAAGGAGTGCTTGAAGTTCTTGGTCACTTGCCTCAACCTAGGCGTCAGGGTGACACTAGTGATTGCATGGTAAAAGTGTGTAATGCGTAAAGCATAAGCATCCAGATTTTAATTTTGAAATTTTTACATGAAAAAGTGGCCTTTGTTATCAACCTAAAACTGGGGTTCGTAAAATTTGCAGTTCTTCATGATATTCCTTGGATGACGAGCTGAATGTTAATAAAAAAATTATTTGACTTTCAGACGCGAGTAATTTAACTTTTTTATAATATTTTCTATAACCTTCGTGCAGGTTAGCCCATATTAATGTGAGAAATCTATCCAATTTTAGAATCCCACATAATTTGCTTTAAAAAATTATGCAGGTGATGCTGGGGTATTCCTTAGCTGCCCTGTCAGCTTAACGAGGAAGCTGTTTTGGCGAAAACAGCATTTCAGACTGATTCTATCAACGATGGCGTTGGCATAAAAACAGTCATATACTCATCTATTCAAAAATAGGAATTCTTTAGGCCTGAATAAAGTAGCATGAATACCAGCGACAATCAAACTGGTACAAACCTCTTGCATGTGATCTATTAAGCGGTTTAACTATCTTCTCCTTTGGCTACTGAGAACCAGGAAACAGGCTATAAGACATTCTGTTCTGCTGATGCCGCATCACACATAAAGTTCTTATCTTATTTTATTTCTAGGTTTTACTAACTTTTGTTTATGCAGCTTATATGTGCACTGCAGTTGCAAGCAGTACGAATCCTGTCTATGGGTCTTGTTCTGAAAAGCCTTTACTGGAAAATTCTCAATTTATACTAGAACCGCATCATAGCAGAACTAGAATACGAAATCTGCAATTTTTTTTATCTCTGTAGCGCAAAGTAAGCCAGATAGTGTCTGCAGGTTTGTTTGGCGAAAGATTTCAGAGGGCTAATTTTATCATTAGAAATCGCAATATGTGATAGGTTATAGCTGGCAAAGCCTAATAATTGTGGGAAAATTTAAGAATGAGCAAACGTTTTGCGGTTCAATTTCTAAATACGCTAAAGAGCGCTTAGCTATATTATGCAGTTGGTGCATCCCTCATTAATTGTTAGAGTTGCTATCTATAATTTTTACAAGTAAATACTGCAACGTTAGTGGTCCTCTTCTTGTATGGGCCTCACCAGGCACCAGTAAAGAGAACGTCAGCTAAAAAGCAGCAAAGGCACTGGACCAGCGTACACAAATGTTACTTTGGCCGCCCCTCAGGTAAAGCCAAGTTATTGTAAACACAAAGAAGGATGCACCAGCGTAATAAGTGCGTACAGCTTTCCCAGTAGCTGTGTGTCTTGGTGGCCTTTAGAATTCAGTGCTATAGTCACGATTAGGCAATTGAAAGTTTCCTCTATTTGAACCTTAAAGAGAATCTTGTCAAATTCGCAGCCTTAGCCAAAAAATGGGGTAACCAGAGCACCCTTTACACGATTTTAAACCTAAGTTCTCTTTTTGTAAAGTTTTCATTGATTCGTGGTATTTCAGCTCGCAATGAGTCAGCCGTCCCAGTTCACAAATTACTGCGAAGATTTTATGAGGGTGAAACGCGGGACATGCTAGTGTTACTGCCAGGGGCAAATAGCCCACGAGCAAAACACAAATAAGCCAAATCTGCCAAAAACAAGTGGCGAATAAACGATATGCACCATGTTACCATCCACGTTGGCGTTTGGACACGTCGGTGAAGCACGTTTTATATTTCTACGAAATAACGCGCAAAACACATTAGAAAGAAGGTCAACGAATTGTTAAGCTGCATAGAATATCTTTTTGGGTGCTAAAAAATGCTGACCAATGCATGACCTCACCTTGAACACAAAGGTTTCATTAAAGACAGGGTTGAGAGTCTTCCGGTGGACTTTCGTCTCAAACTTCTTCTTTTTATTGGGCAAGAGGAAGACCTTGACGTAGGGATCAGACGTCCCGCACATGTCCATAGCAGGCAGGTCTCTCGCCTGAATGATCCCCACGGTCAACTGTGTTTGCAAATGTAAAAGGCAGTTGAATGCAAAGTCAACCATGTTGTTTTTTAACCTTCTAATAGTTTATACAATTTACAGGCTTGAAATCAGGATTTTAGCCAACGGGAACACATTATTGAGTTCCAGGCACTTAATTATACTCATGGGGTTTAAAAAAATGCAGGATTGAAGTTGATCTTTGACATTCCGAATCTACCTCTTGAAAGCAGACATATATGGGCATACTTCTGGTCCCCATAAATTAAATTTTTATCACTATTAAACGCCTTCAACTTCAACTGAATTAGTGCGATAAATAACTTTTTGAGCAAACACTATGTGCATTTATGAGAATTTGACTCAAGTTGAAATTAAACCCTTGTGGTAACCTTGTCGGCGGTGTAGTTATCCCGCTCGACCAGTTGCTTAAATGTTAAGTTTGAAAATGCGAACAATTTTATCGTATTTTATCACAAAACTGTTAACTTCGAGACAAACTCGCAAACACACTCATACCTTTCCTTCAATGGTGATGAGCGCAAGTTTAATAAATGAGCTGATTTAATATAACTGAAGAACTTTTTTCACTAGTTTTAAGTTTGCTGCGTAGCAATTTAATTTCGGCACGACTTTTTGAGTGCTAATGTATTTAAAATTAATTAACTCTTACTGTCTAGTACATTAGCAGATTATAGAAATGCTTTATCTGTAATTTATTTTTGAAGTCTTCCTCACACGTTTGGCTTTTACGGTTTGTCGATATCGGTGTGGCGCGACTGCATTTTCATCTTTATTAGTTGCGAAAAATTTGCTGTCCCATTCATACATACAGACCAGTCCTTAATTTCAACGCTTGGAAGTTTCATTAATATTTCCTTCGCGGGTTATGTTGATGCCGAATCAACTACTGGCGAATGTTTTTGAACAGATTTCAGAAGTAACATGTGATAATTAGCTGGTAAGAATTTTGGGGACTGAGAAGTATTTTGAACCGCTTGGACAACGAGTTGGCGCATTAAGTATTTTTGCCGAGGCTGCGATTCACGCTAGCTATAAATACGCTCATCAAAGCCAATGGATTAAGCGACTTCTCACACACAACTCGTGGTTTTTAAGCGAGGCAATAAACGCCGCGAACTGCTTGCTTCTAACTGCGTAGTGAACGCGGCAAAGTAGATAAACCGCATTTTAACTACGAGAAGGCTGGCCCAGTTATAGTAGGAAAACAGACATTCATTATTTTAAGCGACCAAATGATGACAAATAAGATTTATTTTTGACTTATTATTTAGTTTCAATGTCTTTTTTTGCAATTTTGAAGGAAGACCGCTACACCCAGTATATCATCATTTACTAACCAATTTAAATAGCCTTCTATTAGTAAGGAAGGAAGTAAGTAAGTCACAAAGTGGAAATGTTAGAACCACTAAATCACAGCATAATATCCAAAAAACTAACTTACTTCGTTTTTCTGAAAGTCGAATTCAACTGAATACTGGAGAGATCCCAGGTTGACCTTCTCCTTCCCGTCTCCTGCCTTTTCATTTTCCTCCATGTTTTCGGTCAAAGCTTGCGTGTCCTCCTTTAGAAAAATATTGCAAACATAGGATTTTCCGTAAATAAAAATTGCAACAACTTCTACTACTACCAACCTCAGAATCATTAGTTCAAACTACTGAGAACATAAGTTGTGTTTTGAATGCATAGAAGAATTTGAGGCAGTCAATGCTATCCCGACTCACTTTCAAGCATGTTACATTCTCAACCGCACTTACCGTACTGATCAAAGACAGCCTAATAAGGCCATTTTTAATGCAGGACATAAACCACTTTTATGAGAAAATTTTACTTGTTCACTGCCTCTTTTCTAGCGAAATCCAACTGACGTCATACTTGCCAACGACTAAAATTAACCTGCTACGATTAACGCGTTGGGTCTCACATTTCAAATTCAGCACACAGGTGGTTAACTTTGTTAAAATAGCGGACTATGTAATGTGCAAGTGATAATTTTCAACCTAGTTTCCACAAGCCCAAGATAAAGGACATTGAAATGTTAATCAAAGTTGTTTTTCCATTGACAAAGCGACGTTAAAGATTTCCATCAATGATAACTGATAAGGCATTGCTGCAGTTTAGACATCGCAAAACCAGTACATGTTTGAAAAAAATTCTATTTTTTTCACTGAGTTAGTCAATGTTTTATATTAAAAAAAATTGGTATTTGTGAGTCTGGGATAGATCTTGGCCAATATGCATCAATATGGGAACAGTAAAACCAACTTTTGGATTAGGCATGTAAGGAAACAGAGGAAGGAAATTAGGTCAGTGAATTCATGCACTTTTATGGTTTCGTGCCTATTGTAAATCCACAATAACAGTGCCCTAGTCTAGCTTCTAGATTTGGTGACAATTTGGTCAAGATAACAATAAGCAACATTGGAGTTGATTCTCCATCTAAAGACTTAATCCAAAACTACTAAGGTAAATGAGAAAGTAAGGGCTACATTACTTTTCTAGTCATTGTCAACAGCAATAGAAGTTATCACCTTTGCATTCATAAAAATAGTTCTTCCTTCTCTTTCAGCAGTCAAATACGCTTAAGGAAGTGATTAACTCAAAAGGATTCCTTCGCTTTCAGCTCCCAGAACTACGTAGCAGAGCATCATTATGCTTTGGAAAAGTGGAAATAATGAGGTGGTAGGGGCTGCAGGAAACAGCGGCGGCCCACACAACTGCATTCAAATGCAAAAAAGAAGCATAAATGCATTGTTCTTCCGAGGGGGCATCGTAAGTCACAAACAGCAACTATTGAGTTGCAAGAAACCAAAAATTATGCTCCGTGTGATTAAAAAAGGGGTTTTCTAACTTATTCTGCATGAACATTTTAGGATCTCAAGTCTAAAGTTGAAAAATCTACTATTACAATTTTTACTGCCTAGAAAGAAATTACATAGTTATGTCAAATGCAATCCGTAGATGAAAGCCACACTATTAAGTTCGTGTGGGATTATGGAGTGAAAGAGCAAATGGTTCTTCAGCTTGATATATTATTCTTTTAGTTTTTAAAAATTTCCAATCCGAACATAACATGTACGCTGCATTATAACCTTTCTCAAACTGGTAAATATTAGAAAAATCAATGTTGGAATAAACCATTAAAGTGTTGAAACAAATGGTCCAGAAAAAGCCAAGCTTAACTTATTATGCTGTTTTATTTTCTGTGGGTGATATCGGATCAGGAAAGTCCCCTAAAATTGTCACTTAATTGTTTTTTGCTGAAGTAAAATCTCATTGGCCAAATTTGTCATCTGTGTCATGTTCCATTTAATAGATAAATGTAAATACCTTCTCATGCAAACCTAAACAATGTGTAACTCTGGTTATTAATATCAAACGTACATTTTACTATCACTTGAAAAAAAAACATTGTCTACAATTTAAACTAACAGCGAAAGTAGTGGGCAAATTGATTTCAGTTTTTTAAAATCTCCACTGATGCAGATTAGAAGTTGCTTCATTTTACATTTAAAATCGAATTCATAGAAGAACGCAAATCATGGTTACCTAATGCTCAGTCACTTATAATTGTGGCAACACCAAAGAAACGGTTTTTCAACTACTAAGTATGTGATTTAACGAAAATAATAACGTAGAAATAGTGTTAAATTGCACCATCTCAACACCTAGATATGGCGCTCAACAGATTTTCCATCCCAAAAATTAATGAGGAGAATACAACCGACAGAATTAGAAAAAAAAATAAATACGATTCAGTTCAAGAAAACTCGCCGATTAATGTGAAGGTGCTGGTCTAATGACTAGAAGGATGCATGCAAGGTTGTCAGTTCAAACATTACTACGTTTAAAGGACAATTAATAAGGGCGTATCACAGGGATTTCAGCGAATTATTCAGATTTTTAAACGATTGGAAGGAAATGCTTTACGCCCAAAAAGTCGATTTATGACAGTCGATGTGATGCTTTTGCTGGTGTGGATTTAAAAATCTTAAATGCCTTCTGGTCGCTGTGCCTGTGACCAATCTTGTTAAGCCTGCTGTACGTTCTCTTGTTACACCGTTACGCTCTGTTCAGTTGCCATGCGTATACCTGTACAGTCTTCTAAAATATCTGGCATAAAACCATTTCGAGGCCCAGCTTGGTATCTTACGTCCTGGGGATTTGAGTGTTTGATGCGGTTTAATGAAGAAACAATAGATTTAAGATGCATTACAGAATCAAAGGATGGAAATTTCGGATACATCAGTATCACCTAATATGGTTATTATAATTATTATTTTGTTATTTCTACTCACCTGCTCTAATTCAAGTTCAGTGGTGCACAACGCTGACAGCCAATCAGAAGCCTCAAAGTTTTCACAAGTTTTCAATTACGGATCAATTTTCGCATGCCACACAGACATAGCCTGTTAATTTTGACCTGTATTTTTCAGTAGACTTACGTGAGATGCATTCAAGAAAGTTTGTGATTTTTCTAATTGGAAATAAGTACACTGTTCTTTGGTTCACTTTCCTACTACCTCTTAAGCGTTACTATTTGCTAATCGATTCGACCATTAATCTCACACAAAATACATATTAGATACAGGCTATTTGCCGACGGACAGCAACATTATACCATCAATAGGATCTTGCGGTCAAATTAACGATGAGTCATTTCCGACATCGATCCTCATTCACCAGCCCTGGGTACTGTGTCTTGGTTATGCCGCAACGGAGGTACTTCGGCATGCAGAAAAATATGTTTTGGCAGAAGTCAATAGATAACTTCTAAACGTCTCCGCCTGTCCCCATACATGTTGACTGAACAGGTTTTTTACATATAAAAGGGCCAATTGGAATGAAATAGTGTATAAAACCGATTGTAAAGGGATTTGCGTGATTAGATTCGCACGCTGTGCCTGAATTTAAATTAAGCCTCCCATGTTATGAGAATCGACCACTCTTCCTTCCTCTGAAATAATTACTACCAAGTTTAACTTCTATCAGCCTGAGGCTAAGTTTTTCATTAACCAACAACGAAACGCCGGGAAAAACAAACGTGCGTGACCTACTTCATTTCCAGTGGCGTTGTAAGCATCACGTAGTAATCGTCAAGGCTCAAAGAAAACCGTAGGACTAAATTATGGCCTGATTTCAAAGTTTTCGGTAAGTTCTTATGTGTTCTTTTGATTCGTTAGTTAGCGTTTTTATATTAGCGTGGAGTAAAGAGTCACAAGCCTAGAAAAACTCATTGGTTGTGGTAGAGCGAAATCCCGCCAAGGTGTTCGCTATATAACAAGACTTACAATTTGTTTGTTCAACGAAGAGGCGAATTTGATTGCCTTGCTGTCATCGACTTCTACGTTGACTCCCTTCTTAGACTTTTTCTTTCTCCTAGGAAGGCATTTCTTGCACAGCCAAAATAGGCATATGAGGCCGAAGCAGATGGCCAGTGTAATCATCAAAGCTTGAGATGTGCTTGCTTCTGAAACAAAACTGAGTGCATTGAAAATTGAGAAGGACAGTTTTCTGCTGTACTTTTTACGTTTAGGCACAAGCAAAATTTCACAATTTCAAACAAACAAATGCTAAAAATTTCCCACTTTTTGTAAATGTCACACATCCATCTAATTTCTCCATTTGGTTATTTGACTTGTGTCATCGGTTTAACAAAAAAGGTGTAAGTCTGAAATTCAAGATTCTACATTAGGAGAAACTGCATTGTTTTTGCCCCCGTTTCAAGTGGTGTACGAACTAAAAATCTTTGTAACGTGTTTGCATATTGCCATCAAATTCCTGTTTTTAACTCAGCCTTTTTCTCGTCAGTTAGATTAGCAAAATATCTTGCAGAAATTGTAAAACTACTTTTGTCAGAATGGTAAGCACTTTCAAGTGAACGAATTGAAAGTCAACCTCTGAGTCTGTTTGTTTTTCTTAAACATAACTAATAAATGTAGATATGAAGTATTATTGTTTCATCAGTTTTACTATTGCTCTGCAACAGGAAACATCAAAATTCCGTTTTTTGGTCAATTGGCATCGTAATTTACATAGCAGGAGCCTAAAGTCAAGTCGCACGCTGAAATGCGAAGGACATAGACGCCTTCTTGGAAAGCTTAATGGCATGAATCCATTCTACTTTTAAAGGTTCATTATTCTACGTGAAATGGTGTCTTTCTTGTTTATTTTAGGAGACAGTGAGAACTTAGCTAAAAGGGTTTCTATAAGCAGTGTTGCGTGCAGAATAATTTCGGTCAGCAAAGAAGAGAAAGGTGTTTTGTTCCATTTAAGCGAGAAGTAAAGTAGGTTTCTGAAAATTAAAACCCAATTCTGACTCTGTTTGTCTGTGAAATTTGCCCAGTTTTACCATGCTATTAATGTTTAATGTCTCAAAGGCGAAAATCCACCCTAACTTGACGTAATATTTTCTCTCCTAAGGGCATTTGAACTGCCGTTTCTCTAATCTCACTTGGCTTACAATCAAAAAATAAACGCGGGCATTCAAGAAAAAAAAGAAAATTCATTGATTTCTCCCACCAGCAATTAAATTATTATGAGAAAAGTGTAAAGTTGGGACCAGTAAGAGTTTTGTTTAGGTGAATTAAAACCTAGCAAATTTGCCTAACTTCATGCAATTAAAATGCTTCCTTAGTTAAACAATATTAGTCTGGTGCTTTAGCATTGAAATTGTTATGAAAGTAATCTTAGACCAGGTCATGTACAACTCCCACTTAATAGGTCGTACATAATTATAGTTCGCTTAAGGATTCTATTTTGTGAACGTTATGTAGGTACATGAATCAAATTAAGCGGTCACTAATAAAGTCTTAAATTCAATCCAATTGCTTATATCAACGTAATATAGATCCAGATATCACTGTTGACTGAGTCCGTGGACAACATATCCTCTAAAATAAGCACAATTGTTGCAACTTTGGCTAGCTAATATCAATGTTTTTGTGCATTTTGTAAATACTAGTACGATTGACCGCGCAGAATTGGATTTAATTATGTACTGTAGGGCTCATGACAACTTTACACCTTTACAATATCTCGAATATTTTAAAAATGTGGGTTTATGTATTTTAAATTACATTCTCGTATTATGTGGTACAACTGCTCGAAAGTAATGTCATGTGGGACCATTAACAGATTCCCATCTCTTAGATCTCTGTTAAATGTGCCAAATTTATGCATTCTATTCGGGTGCAAAATTTTAAACGTCTACACACGGTGCATTGTAGGATCTAAATAGGTAGATAGATGGGGTCGCTCTAGTTTGGTTTATTTACGTCAAACTGAAAAAGACAGCAGTGTTTTGGTAGCAGTGGTCACAACCCACTAATAATTTTCAGTGATTAGAGCTAACAAAATTCTTCCCCTGTTTACATTTGGGGATAGTAATTACCTTTTATACATTAAAACGAGGTAGCACTGACTTCCTTGTACTTGGGAACAATTTTGTGGGACACAACCCACAGACTTATGGTCTGTTTATTAGCAGATTATTGCCCTAGTTTCCTATTAATTTTTCACCAACTGAATGTAAAAGGGTCTTTGCCCTGCGACTTTAGTGCTTCCAGATTGTCGTGATTCCAAGCAAACACCTGTCTCTCCCCTTCCCTTCCTTTATCGACAGAGGTCTTTCCCAGAGTCCTTGCAGCTCAGCTTCAACCGCAAATAACTACTGGCTTACCAGAAGAATTCTTAGATTTGGATGGTTAAATTAAGTGAAAAGTCAACTGTTGCCCAATTAGGCTCATTGCGATTTACAGTGTTGGTACAATTCTTCAAGATATAATGCATCAATTTGGCTCAGCACAAATTGCTGAAACACTAATGGAAATTCTGAGTATAAACAGGACTGGTAAACACTGTCAGTTTTTAAGTGAACAGCCCATGGGAAGGTTTGCATCCCTTGGGTTTATGGCACATCTCGTCTTGTCTTTGTGAGATATAAATAGTTCATCGAAGGAAACCCTTTTTTGCCGTTCTAAACCTAAGTAGAATATATATTCTCAAGGTAATAATCTAGAACTGCAACAATATCAATGTGGAATTTTGTATAGTTTATAATCCCTTCTTTAAGTCATACGGATATGAAATAAGGTTTCAGTTAACACAAGCAAAAGATAGAACAAGCTTTCCAAAGTGCTATCAACACGGTAGCAAAGAAGCATGAAGAATCCAAAAATGGAATGAATTCAACAAGGAGTTATTAATTGTGAAAAAAACATATTTTAATTAAATGTAAAAACAAAAAAGCAAATATACTTTAGCCCCATAATGCACCCCAATGAATTGGCTGGATTGTTGGCGGAATCTGATATTTAGACATCAACTATGATTTGTTTGAATTTCGCTTGTTGTCACCGTGCCATTTAATTAACTCATGAGTCATCCTTTCCTTTTCTTGGCCATTTCCGCTTTGACACGAACCAGCGGTTGTGTTCGGTGTTTACGATGTATGCGGAGGGCAGAGCGGTGGTCTTTTGCTTTTAATGTTGCTATTAGCTTTTTGCTTTTGCGATTACTGGTAGCAAACACAGGCCTGGAAGTAGTAACGCAAGACTCGACTCACTTCTTGACATTGGTGCCGTGGGTGTAGAACTGAGTGCGGCGAAGAAGGGATGTCTGTCGTCCAGAGAAAGCCTTCCCACAACACTTGGGGGCAACGTTAGGCGCTCCCTCTCCTCATCGGACACAATAGATCCCAAGATTTTCGGAGCAGCCGTTGCATTCCGACGCAGCGTGGGAAGTGCCGAAGAAAGGCCTACCGTTGGCGCCATCCTGTGAGAAGCAAACGCATTCACCCAAACATCGGTGTGCGGCTTGTGTTACTATGATTTCAAATGCCACCATATTGTTTTAAGTTTTAACCAAGTACGACAAAACCAATTTGGGCCAGTTGCATTGTCCAATTCCAATATAATTAGTGCAAATAATTGAAAGTTATGATATTGAAAATACCTGTTTCTGTACAATCGTTTACTGGTTACATGTGATGCCAACTAGTTTTTTTGGCCCTTTCATGTAGCAATGAAAGTGACGCTTTGTTTAACATTGCTTTCATCTGAAATGATTCAAATCTGGTTAGAATTGAGCCAACAGTTGTTCACTGACAATGAACTGCAGAATGTACAACTGCCCCACAATACTTGTGGGCATTAGTAGTGCACTTACTGATTAAAATAACCTCTAATAGGACTGAATTGCAATATAGTAGTGCACAAAGACCATGGTTTAAGTCAAGTTCCATTTGGGGCTAATGGGATTCAACTTTTGTGATGACAAAACTTGCACACATGCAGCAGAGCTAAGACAGATACATTTTAATTGCAATTTAGGCAAGGCTGCGTACTGGATGATTTTACACCAATTTGTAGCAGCCTGTTTCTGTCGAACTTGGCTAGTCTTGCCACAGCCATGTAAGCTTACATTTTGAGCTGGCCCAGTTTGTGGTTTCGCCTGGAGTCAGGTAGCTGTTTCAGAATGGGAGATGTCAGGGAAACATGTGAACACCATGACTAATATTCTTCAGCAATATAACAGAACACGGCCATGTTTTGTTATATTTAAGAGCGATTAATCAAGATGTAAATGGAACCAAGCCTCAGTGTTGTGGACTAAGATGTCTGCATTTAGGATATTCCCAAAAATGTTAGCTTTGTGTATAATTTGCCTTTAAGCAGCTTTTTACTGCTTCGGTTTACTTAAAGAATAATCGACACAACCATCATTCTATAATGAGTGTTGTTATGACAACTGTTTTTTACGTGCGCTAAAGGAACTAGTCTAAAGAGGGCATAATAGAACGACTATTACAAGCACTAGCCCTATCATACTTTTTAACTGTTTTTTTAATAATACAAAACAAAATACCTGCGTATTACTGACTATAGTTATATTTATGCTAAACAAGAAAGTTGCCCACCAAACTAGCTTCTGAAAACAGCAAAACTTATTTTATTTATAATTAACGCAAAGTGAAAGAATGCAGTCAATGTAGAATTGGAAAATTTACTCAATCTAAAAATTGATTATGATCGTCAAATTCTTTTTTTTTCTTTTCACGTCTGAGTAAACTGATTTTGTAATTTGACCACTAAAAAACTCAAATCACAGTAGATTTATTTATTCTAACATGCTTTGAGTACGTGATAAAATAATAACAAATTACCCATGCATAGTAAACATTTACCAGAAATAACTCTCATTAAAGGATCTTAAAAAGCATTTTCGTAAATATGTTTGTCAACATTTTTTAAAACCTGTGTGTCCTAGACGCAAAAGTACTGTGATCACATTAAATTATATTTTCTTTTTTTGGCCGATTCTCAAACTAGTTGCAGGGTAAGCCAATTGCAAATTATATAAAATCGGTAACAGGAAAAAGTGAAACAGTCAGATTGCCAGCTTTGCTGAAATTGATTGTTTTCAAAGCAGCTCAACATGCTATTTTTATGTATTCATCTTGGAATTTCCGCAGTATCACAATTAATACCATTCCTTCATTCTAAAAAATGATTTGCAGTACAAAATGCTTAAACAGACAAAGTAGGTCATGTTTACCTAACAAATCATTTTGTTTCAACTACAAATAACGTGCCCTCCCATTCATAGGTCTGCATACTTTGGTACAGCGTTGAAAATACAACAGGCAAGTAATTTTGTACCATGAGCAGGTAACCAAGCCTTTGCAAACGCTAGCCTCTTAAAATATCTCTTGGCAGCCTTAAAATAAATTCAAACGAAAGTGTTTTTAAGTTCTTGAAGTCGTGAATCCCCGGGGCTTTTCATATCATCCAATTAACACGTAACAAAGTTCTATTTTGTGACAAAAGGGATAAAGCGTCATTTGCTTATTTAAGCATATGCCCTATTTAGTGTGTTGGAGGGACATTAGTTATTAAACTGATAAACTGAACTTATTGTGCGCACGAAGTGTGACATGTTAAATCCAAACTTCGTGGTAACTGGCCTTCTTAGCCATTACCAAAGGATAAAGAATGCGCCCTTAACTATTTTGCAGTGTTGTACAACTGCATTTTCAAATATCGCACCTCATTACCAATGTTGCAAAACTGAGATGTAGATTCTATCGGCTACCTTCTGCACGTACAAAACATTTATTAAAGTTTAGGTGCCTTTTTGTTTTTTCTTTATTTGCAGCATAAAGACTCTGGTTTTTGGAAGTTGACGTTAATGTTTTATTATTGCCCGCGCGAGTAACCTTAAACTTGTTATGAATAGGAGAATATCTACAAGACTCCACTTTGCCCAATCCTGGTTTAAAAGTGACCGATGTATAATAACTTTGAGAGATACACGCCATGCATTTCTCTACTCCACGTCAGAGCAGGTTCTGTCAGTGGCTTTACTGGGAGTTATTTATAGATCACGGTTTGTTTAAATAGGAGGAAATACAGCTTTTAGTGGCTAATCCACAGGCAAAAGTCATTCTACCTGTATAGGCCTTGCCGTGGGTGCTCAGACGCAGCGCAAATTAAGTGGGATCCTTCCTGCGTTGAAGGGATCACACAAAGCTGTTTTTCTTTCAGCTCTATTAACGCAGCCTTTATTACTTACGCGGATCCATCAACTGTAGAAGTGTGCTAACACCTCATTACATTAATTTCCAAGGTACAAACTCAAGACATTATCGGTCATTACAAAAATCCCCCGTTACAATAAACAGTGTGGAAAATTTCGTGGGCACTAAAGTTCTCTGTTGATTATTGTTACATTCAGAGATTTGCACTTTTTAGATATTATCGAGGTGGATTTGAAGTAATCGTTGAAGTAGCCATTTGGTCAAATTTGTCCGCTTTTTAACTTAGCTAGTGAAAGTGGTGATTTTACAGAAATCCTTGGGCCTATTTTCAGTGCAAAGGGGCCTTTCCTCTTCTATGATGCAAATAGCTGTGTCCGTGGTTAGTGGTTGTCAACTAGGTATTTTAATGAGGCCACATTTTATGTGGTGTAACGAAGAGCTTTTCATTTCCAAAACTACACATGTTTTGTCAAAATAAGTGCAACCGAAATGGCTAAGCTAAATGCAGAAATCACCCACATAAAATGTCGCATTCGTTACTAGAAACCATTAAGTTGTTACTAACTTGCCTAGACAGTGTGTCCAGACTTCTCTCCCCTAAATCCTGTTTGCTGTGGTGTTGATGTTGGCGCATTAATTGAATTTGATTCACTTTTCTAGCACTATGGACGAAGAGATGACTATTCAGCCTAGATATCCAGCCAAATATCACAGCTTCACCATGGTTATTCAAATAATAGTGTCTTAATTGAATCAGCATCAATTAAATCAATCCCTGTAGAGCCAGCAAAATACTTTAGAGTGTAAAGGAAAAATTTGAACTCTAGCAGAACATGCGGTCAGAAGGCTACTTGCAATGACTTTGAAAATAAATCTCTTTAATTACTAATGTGATGATCTAACCATCAACTACAGGATAAATTGTGAATGACTACACCACAGCAGACAGGCAAATAACAAGTTTTTTTTAAGGAAAAGACAAAAATTTCCCCTAATGGGTAAAACAAATGCATCATTTTCTCGGCAAACCTATTTCCAAGTTAATTCCCAACTTTTTAGGTATCAGATTTACCGGAAAAGAAATGCGACTGCATATCTTTAAGCAAACGATTCGCAGTATAGCTACCACTTCACATGTTAATGATGTTCTGATGTTCCACTTATTCACTCAACTATGGCTTGCACATCGTTGTTTCATATTTAATAATTTATGAAAAATTGTTGACTTTTGTTAAAGTTTTGGTTCAAACAACAACTAGGGAAAGCAGCCAAGTAAAATTCCAGATATGTTTGTTTGAAAATGCTATGTGAATTACTAAAAGATGTCTGTTGACTAAAATAGAGCACGACTAAAGTACGACAACAAACGGGAGAAACTTGAGCCCTGAAAACAGCAACGGTTTATAAATGGATGGAAAATTGTTTGCTTTGTTAGGCTAAATTTGGCACATACCCCAGTACAAACGATGGCCGTCTTGGCAAAAAAATACATCTACTCTAGCATACGTGTCTGGTTTGAGTGCGTTCCCCTTAATATTGCCGTGGCCAATCGCATTTCGGAGAAATTTACTGACGATTTCATTGGCCGCCGAGATTAAATATACTCTACGGTGCTGGCTTTTTTATTACGTCTCTACCAGTTTGGGAGTGCAATTACCGCGTAAGCCCATCAAAGGTGTTGCTCAATGTAACATTAAGCGTCGTCAACATTTACTTTATAGATTATAGATTTAATGGAAATAGGTGTAGCTGCCAAGAGAGGCTTTAAGGATCTTATGGGACATCATTGCTCTTACTGTTTGCAAACATTGGAAAATGGATATGTGAAACGTCCTATTCAATGTTGTAAATTACATCGTTCACACATCCTACTAGAAACATCCAGCGGCACGTCGTAATTAGGAGAAATTCAAGTCGTTTTATCAATGTGATTCTGCTAATTTACCAGCACCGTTATTCCCGCATAGGTAATTACTCAAATGAGCTATGGTCACTAGTAAAAATTTGTGCTGCTGTTCATCTGTAGAGAGATTAAACAATGTTGCTGGTTTGCAACTACCGACGGAGCCCAGAAAGAAAATGCGAGAGAGATATTGCCCAGACACTACCCAAATTTCAGAATTGCGCTTTGTTTTTTTATCAGAGATGTGTGGCTGATTAAGTGATGCGTATAATGAGGAAGAGAAGACGGTTAATCACGGGTAAACAGATTAAGACGCCTAATTATAACTCTCG